GCTGGATACGTGATTCTGTGGTCCCGGGTTCGATCCCGGGCCCCGGCGAGAAACGAGGGGCAGAGTTTCTTTCACCCTATGCCCCTGTTACCTAGCAGTAAATAGGTACCTGGGAGTTAGTCAGCTGTCACGGGCTAGGTCCAATAAATATAAAAACTTGGCTATATTCTAAGTATACAAAATGAACAAGATAAACAGACAATCAAATTTACGTTACGTTAATGTGCAAAATAAAATATGATGTGGGAATACTTTGAGCCAAACTGAATAACTCTGTTACCACACCGGGGTATGTCAACAGGTCTACTCAGCAGAGCACTCAGGAGTAATCTGAATCTTAGTGGGCTAGGTAGCCCTATATATACACGGCGACGGCCGTCCAGATGGCGCTGGTTCCTTCTTTAACTATTAACTGGCTCTTAAACTACTTGTTTCGGATGGCGTGAGCTGCCAGCGACACAGGTGCGAGGTGGGGTGACGGGCAGGGGTGTATGGGGGGACTGGAGGTATTGTCTAGACGTCTGGAAGTTGTTGTTCTTCTTGTGGCTACAGTACTTGAATATATAGACGTGATATGGGAGGAATAGGTGGTGATGGAGCAGGCCGAATCTCTTCCCAGATATATATATATATATATATATATATATATATATATATATATATATATATATATATATATATATATATATATATGATCGCATATATCCATGCGATCAAGCTTGAATGGTCCCCGATCCAATATGCAACTGAAAACTCTGAAAACTTCACACCCCAGAAGGATTTGAACCCAGACAGCCAGGAGCACTGTGCATCATGACGTACCTGGTGCCTTAACCATTAGTTATACACACACACACACACACACACACATATATATATATATATATATATATATATATATATATATATATATATATATATATATATATATATATATATATATATATATATATATTGTGACGATAATCTCTTTCAAGAGAGATTGAGCCTGCTCTTCCCTTCATAAGTACGTCAATATACAAGATAATATAGAAGATACGTCCACCAAGTATCGCCAAACGTTTTGCCCAGAGAGCAAATCGTACCCAGCACACGGTGACACCTGCTACCGCCGCCGTAACCAGCTAACTGCTCATCCTCTGCCTGCCTGTCGCTGATTGGCTGGTGACTCGTCGCCCCTGCCCTCCGCCTCTACCACAAGTCGACGTCTGGGCTGCAGTGCGCTAGTATCGTCAGAATATCTCAGTGCTCCAAGCAGTTGACATCTCTCGCTGGTAGTCTAAGCCTTGGCTTTCGTGTACTAAGGGAGGTGGCAGCTCGAAGCCAGTATTCCAGCACCACTTATATTTTATTTTGCTATCACTGTAACTCACTTGTCTTAACGTAACTTTTCATTTGCCAGTGATTATTCATATTATTTTGTTTGTTGACTTGTCTTGCCTATTTTATGTGATTGCCTTTATTCATGTCTTGTTTTTCTAGAGTAATTAAAATTTCATTGTTTATATACTTGTGTTTTGTGTGTCTTCCCATAACCTTACCACAGACGAAAGGACCAACTTTTCTCTTTTTTTTCGATTATGTGACGAGGCCCTGCCCCTAGCTTTTGAAACAGCCGAACACCAACGCTTTACCGTCACAATATATATATATATATATATATATATATATATATATATATATATATATATATATATATATATATATATATATATGTTGTACCTAGTAGCCAGAACGTCGTACTCGGCCTGCTATGCAAGGCCCAATTTGCCTAATAAGCCAAGTTTTCCTGAATTAATATATTTTCTCTAATTTTTTTCTTATGAAATGATAAAGCTACCCATTTCATTATGTATGAGGTCATTTTTTCTATTGGAGTTAAAATTAACGTAGATATATGACCGAACCTAACCAACCCTACCTAACCTAACCTAACCTATCTTTATAGGTTAGGTAGCCGAAAAAGTTAGGGTAGGTTAGGTTAGGTAGTCGAAAAACAATTCATGAAAACTTAGCTTATTAGGCAAATCGGGCCTTGCATAGTAGACTGAGAAGTGCGTTCTGGCTGCTAGGTACGACATATATATATACACACACACTAGCTGTACCCGGCCATGCGTTGCTGTGGCTCAGCAACGCATGTGCGTTGCTGAGCCACAGTAACCTTCCCTTGTCTCCCAGTCCTCCCAACCATTCCCCACTCCCCCAAATGTTGTGTCAAAATTTTCAAAGTAATCGCTGAAGAACGTTTGGATATTACAGCATGTGTTGCTCTTACGTCCAACAGATGGCGCTATTTTTCAAAAAAGCATGTTTTTTCCTGTCACAGGTGAGGCATGTATATAGTAGATATATAAAAACACGCGTCTATTCGAATGCAATGTTGTGTCAAAATTTCAAAGCAATCGGTAAAGAGGTTTAGAAGATTTTCCTCACATGAAAAACACAGTTTTTCAAACAAAAGCATGTTTTTTCCCGTCACAGATGTGACATCTATATAGCATGTATATAAAAACCCGCTCGAATGCGAATGGAAAGTTGTGTGAAAATTTCAAAGCAATCGGTGAAGAACTTTCGGAGGTTAGCAATTTTGAACAAACGAACATTTACATTTTTATTTACATAGATATATATATTACGTGTTTTGTATATCTTGAGTTACAACAGCCATTGACTAAAATAAATTGCATGCAAGCATAATGTGTTGACTGGTGTAGGCGGACCACGGTCAACGACCCAACTACCCCCCCCCCCTTTCTCCGTGGGGGGGGGGATGGGCCCCTTCGTGGATGTCCAACCATCTTGAGGGTAATCTACTCCGTCTTAGGTGCACTATCTACCCTCCTTCCTCCCGTCCCCCTGCCGACGATCGAAACACGGCGGCTATATATCCCGGTAGGAATATATAGCATTCAATGTATGTAGGAAATATAGATAGGAATATATATAGGTAGTTCATTCATATTGCATTTACAGCGTCGTAGTTCGAAAAAAGCGTTTACCAACCCGTCCTCGACTCAAGTCTATTGCATCCAGCGGTCGACCCCACAGACGCATTCATGAATTTGTACATGCTGTTCATTCAAAACTGTAATTTTCTCAAATATAAATTAATATTATAATATATTAGCATATTGTGCATATATAAGCATAGGTTAGGTTAGGTGTTTAGGTTCTGTTGGCGATTATTGGTATTTGTAGTACGTGGGTGAAGCATTTATTGTGTTGTGGTTCGAACAAAATTCGTCAGTGTTTGAACGTCATCAGTTGTGAGTCGCGTGTAAATCGTTTTTCATTCGTAAACAGGGGGTTTGGCGGGTGCATGGAATGGACTTTGGGTCTTTGTTTGGAGGACAGGCTGCTGGGGGTCCCGGTATATCTGAGGGGGTTATCTTGAAGTTATCTTGAGATGGTTTTGAGGCTTAGCGTCCCCGCGGCCCGGTCCTCGACCAGGCCTCCTTTTTTGTTACACACCCTCAGGAAGAAGACCATAGCAGCTGTCTAACTCCCAGGTACCTATGTACTGCTAGGTGAATAGGGGCATCAGGTTGAAAAACTCTGCCCACTTGTTTCCACCTCCACCGGGGATTGAACCCGGAACCGCAGGACTACGAATCCGAAGTGCTGTCCACTCACCTGTCAGGCCTCCCAGTCCCGGTAATACAGTCGAGTCTGGTAGACATATATCTCAATATAAGTCTACCGTGCATGAATACACTCTGGCGCCCAAACCCCCGACACAATGAATTATACAATATATATATATATATATATATATATATATATATATATATATATATATATATATATATATATATATATATATATATATATATATATATATATATATTATAATATATCGTTTCTGGTCACCATTGGATATAGATCCACCACGAAAATAAACCACAGGCTGCCCAGCATGTTCTCCACCTAGCAGCATTCATGCTGAACATACTTTGTACCTCATACATATATTATCGCAGTCAAGACGTAGGTAGATCTGAGGCAACAACATTAAGGTGATATGATGACGGCCGGACACTCCACGTCTCACGAGCAGTGGAGCGAGCCGAGGAGAAACACCGTGACAGATGTGGTCTGGGGGGAAAGTTACCAACAATTTACAACCAGCAGATTCATTTTTATTATTTTTTGGAGGGGTGGGGAGGGGTAGGGGGTGGGGGGGGGGGGTTACGCTACATTCAGTGTACACTTCAATTCCTACCTAGTGTGGGAAGCTTGGCTCGCTGGCGTCCTGTCATTACGCCAAGCGTGAGGCCGTGACAGATATCCGGGAGTATGTATGTCTACTGTGAGAATATATATAACTACCGGGAGTACATATATCTACCGGATGTACGTATATCTGCTCCGGGCCGCGCTGAGCACATACAGGTTCGAACCCTGGACGGGTACGCGTGGTAGGGTTCATAACAAGTGACCCACATGGTGGCCTGGAAGTGACCAAACTGTCTGTTTGGGTCGCTAAAACGCATCCTCCAAAGATTATGTATAATATACAAAATGTGTCCTATTTGTGACCCCCCCCCCTAAGTGAGGCTGCTACAGGTATGTAACAAGGTCAGGTTGCCAGATGGTTCTGTCATTAATATCCCCGCGAAAAGTGCTGGTCGGAGACCATTGTATACTTAGTGGTCCCCCTTTCTTGAGAGAGAGAGATGCTACACGGTGTGTGGCTGTATGTTGCAGGAGGAGGGGGGGGGGTACAGCTGGACGTGTCTGGCCGCGGTACAGTCAGACTTGTCTGGCCGGGGTACAACGGATGATCTTGCTTGAATGTTCACGTACGTTGCAAGATTTAAGGATTCAAGTGAAGCAAAGAGTATAGTAAATGTTGCATGTGTCAAGGTGGGTACTAAGTGTTGCAAGTGGGTACTAAGTGTTGCAAGTGGGTACTAAGTGTTGCAAGTGGGTACTAAGTGTTGCAAGTGGGTACTAAGTGTTGCAAGGGGGTGTTAAGTGTTGCAAGAAGTACTCACCATGTAGGGGAAGTGGTTGACGAGGAAACACAGCGCCGCCACTGCCAGGGTAGTGCCCCAGCGGAAGTCCGAGGCGGGCGTGCGGGCGGCGCCACTGGTCCTGCCGCCGCCCACGGCCTTGTGCCCCCTGCTGGGGAGCGCGGGCGGCGGCCTGTGAGGCGGCGGCGGCGGCACCAGGTCAGAGGTGGAGGAGGCGGCGTGCATGGCGCCAGGCACGCCGCCCAGGCGTGCCGAGGAGGCGGTGGAGGACGTGGTAGAGGCGGTGGAGGCGGCGGCGTGGAGGGCGGCACCCTGGCGGCCGCCACTGGAGGAGCTGGAGGACGACGTGGTGGTGGCCGCGATGGGCGCCATGTCGGAGTGGGCGGGGGAGGGCTCGCCGCACCCGCGCCCCGCCTGCACCACGCCCACGCTCACCCCGCCCGCCACCACCAGCAGCCCGTACACGCTCAGCACGAACAGGGAGAGACGCACGTGCAGGGCGTGCGGCAGGAAGTTGCAGTGCTCGAACGTGTCGGGCGCGTCGGCGGGGCGCGCCAAGATGGCGGCCACGCCCACGAGGGCGGCGATGGTGGCCAGCACCGCCAGGTGGTACCGGATCTGGTGACGCCGGACGCTGAACCGGTACTTGTAGGGCCACTGGCTGGTGAGCGCCCGGTCCACCAGCAGCGAGGCCACAGTGGCTGCCTGCAGCGTCCTCGTGGCGCTGAGGCTCCACACGAAGGCTCCGCACGCGGCCGCAGACTCGGGCCGCACGAGGCTCAGCAGCGCGTAGGCGAAGACCTGCAGCGCCATCAGCAGCTCCTGCACGAAGACCGCCAGCAGGAAGAGGTCGACGGAGCGCCACTGGCGGCGGTACGAGTGGAAGACTCCCAGCACCCAGGCGCACATGAGGAAGATGAGGGGCGCGGCCGCCGACAGACCGATCCAGCTGTAGGTGAGGGCCCTCATGGTGCGGGGTCACGCCGGGTCAGGTCAGCTGTGGGCCCGCCCCGCTGCTCTGCACGGCCCCCGCCGCTCACCCACACCACCATCTTGGTCTGTGGGCCATGGTCGGGCGAGGGTGGTCCACTGTGGCGCGGACCACACTCTCCTCTCATGCCAACCACCACGCCACCTCGGCCACGCCACAACACGCCTCGCGCTCTTCAACACGCCTGACGCTCTTCTACACGCCAGAGCTTCTTCTATACCTCTGAACCTCTTCTATGCATGAGGCTCTTTAACCCGCCTGAGGCTCTTCAACACACCAGAGGCTTTCCAACACGCCAAAGGCTCTTTACATGCCAGAGCCTCTTCTACAAGCCTGAGACTCTTCAACACGCCTAAGGCTCTCCAACAAAGCAGCTCTCCGACACTGAAAGAGAAAAGGCACACGTCAGTTACAAGTTATCACGGCTCAGACAGCAATCTTACAAGACTCTCACCAAATTACAACATTGTCACCAAGGCGGCAGTAGGCTACTACCATGATAAGCATCTGGCGAGGCTCCCGTGGACCGAGGCAGCCTCTAGAGTTACGGTTACAGCGGCTGTATCCCTGGTACACTCTCTCGTGGTGGCTATGTTGTCAACTGGTCACAGCGTGGCAACTGTCACGTTATGTGCAGGAGAATATGATCATCATGCTTAAAACTCCCTCCACCACCTCCTCTCCCTTCACCACCCCCTCTCCCACTACCCCCACAAGGAAGATGACTATCACCCCCTCGCCCGTCAACAAACATGCAGCTGACCTTCCCCCTCCCCAACACAAGAGGTCACACAACGCTGACGACGTAACACTATTTTGTCACCCAGGACAACCGGAGACGTTATACTGGCCTCTAAAACCAAGACAACAAAAGGATTCATCAATAAATTTGAGAATAGAATGGAATTATCAGGAGAAAGCACTAAGCTATCACGACTATATCGCACTGGGAAGGGATCAGGATAAAGATTTGCGATTCCAATCTCCGGCCGTCCAACCACCTGGACGGTCGGGGATTGAACGCCGACCTGCATGAAGCGAGACCGTCGCTCTACCGTCCAGCCCAAGTGGTTGGACCAATAACTTCAAGAAGCAATGGAAAATAAGTACAGTGTCAACACACAAAAGTTGCTAATAATCGACACGGCAAAAACAAATCCAGAGCCCATGATCGTTCACAGCCGGCGTCTCCAACGTAGGCATGCAAGCATAACACTGATACTCAAAATCAATAGAACAGGAACCAATATTCATGCAAAGGACAGAATAAACAAAGCAAAAATAACACTAGAAAAACTTAGCAGGAACCCTTCCTGGGCAGGATGCGAACCCTGACCAAACAGAACAATTCTGAGAACTGAAGAGTACTATTTTTCTTTTGGTTCATATATTCAGATTTGAACAATTCTGAATATAGGAATCATCGAGAATTAGTAAAGTGGTAAGTATTCAGAATTAGGCAATTTTGTTACTAATAAAGGTGAGGCAGGCGTAGTAGGTCTTTGGAGCATTATAAAGCTGGGCCTTGAGTCAAAAGTTTTTCACTTGTGGCTATTGTAGTAGAGTGGGAGGGTACTGTAGTAGAGTGGGTACTGTAGTAGAGTGGGTGGGTACTGTAGTAGAGTGGGTACTGTAGTAGAGTGGGTGGGTACTGTAGTAGAGTGGGTACTGTAGTAGAGTGGGTACTGTAGTAGAGTGGGTACTGTAGTAGAGTGGGTGGGTACTGTAGTAGAGTGGGTGGGTACTGTAGTAGAGTGGGTACTGTAGTAGAGTGGGTGGGTACTGTAGTAGAGTGGGTGGGTACTGTAGTAGAGTGGGTGGGTACTGTAGTAGAGTGGGTGGGTACTGTAGTAGAGTGGGTGGGTACTGTAGTAGAGTGGGTGGGTACTGTAGTAGAGTGGGTGGGTACTGTAGTAGAGTGGGTACTGTAGTAGAGTGGGTGGGTACTGTAGTAGAGTGGGTGGGTACTGTAGTAGAGTGGGTGGGTACTGTAGTAGAGTGGGTTCTGTAGTAGAGTGGGTGGGTACTGTAGTAGAGTGGGTGGGTACTGTAGTAGAGTGGGTGGGTACTGTAGTAGAGTGGGTGGGTACTGTAGTAGAGTGGGTACTGTAGTAGAGTGGGTGGGTACTGTAGTAGAGTGGGTGCTGTAGTAGAGTGGGTGGGTACTGTAGTAGAGTGGGTGGGTACTGTAGTAGAGTGGGTGGGTACTGTAGTAGAGTGGGTACTGTAGTAGAGTGGGTGGGTACTGTAGTAGAGTGGGTACTGTAGTAGAGTGGGTGGGTACTGTAGTAGAGTGGGTGGGTACTGTAGTAGAGTGGGTACTGTAGTAGAGTGGGTACTGTAGTAGAGTGGGTGGGTACTGTAGTAGAGTGGGTGCTGTAGTAGAGTGGGTGGGTACTGTAGTAGAGTGGGTGGGTACTGTAGTAGAGTGGGTGGGTACTGTAGTAGAGTGGGTACTGTAGTAGAGTGGGTGGGTACTGTAGTAGAGTGGGTGGGTACTGTAGTAGAGTGGGTACTGTAGTAGAGTGGGTGGGTACTGTAGTAGAGTGGGTACTGTAGTAGAGTGGGTGGGTACTGTAGTAGAGTGGGTGGGTACTGTAGTAGAGTGGGTACTGTAGTAGAGTGGGTGGGTACTGTAGTAGAGTGGGTGGGTACTGTAGTAGAGTGGGTGGGTACTGTAGTAGAGTGGGTACTGTAGTAGAGTGGGTGGGTACTGTAGTAGAGTGGGTACTGTAGTAGAGTGGGTGGGTACTGTAGTAGAGTGGGTGGCTATTGTGGAATGAGTTTTGTAGTGAAGTGGGAATTGTGAGAGGCATTCAGTGGTAACGGTCCATGAGTTACTGAGCATAATACTTTATGCAAATTTATACCTACCATCCCCTCGAGCAGTGTACAGTGGCATCCCTCAAGACAACCACTATCCTTCAAGACAACCACTATCCCTCAAAACAATCACCATTCCTCAAGACAACCACCATCCCTCAAGACAACCACTATCCTTCAAGACAATCACCATCCCTCAAGACAACCACTATCCTTCAAGACAATCACCATCCATCAAGACAACCACTATCCTTCAAGACAATCACCATCCCTCAAGATAACCACCATCCCTCAAAATAATCACCATCACTCAAGACAACCACCATCCCTCAAAACAATCACCATCCCTCAAGACAACCACCATCCCTCAAGACAATCACCATCACTCAAGACAACCACCATCCCTCAAGACAATCACCATCACTCAAGACAACCACCATCCCTCAAGACAATCACCATCACTCAAGACAACCACCATCCCTCAAGACAATCACAATCACTCAAGACAACCACCATCCCTCAAGACAATCACCATCACTCAAGACAATCACGATCCCTCAAAACAATCACCATCCCTCAAGACAACTACTATCCTTCAAGACAATCACCATCCCTCAAGACAATCACGATCATTCAAGACAACCACCATCACTCAAGACAACCACCATCCCTCAAGATAACAACCATCCCTCAGGACAACTACCATCTTTCAAGACAACTACGTTATCTTCTCGTCGCCTCCCCAGACTTTTTTCTTTAGAGAGAGCGAGGAGTGGTTTCAGTCTGTATTTCATGTTGGAATTATGTATTGCTGGGCTTGACTGCCCTCGAGTACACTGATGCTCTTGGGCCATCAGGTGAGGGAGTGCAAGGCCTCATCTTGGGCCATCAGGTGAGGGAGTGCTAGGCCTCATCTTGAGCCATCAGGTGAGGGAGTGCGAGGCCTCATCTTGGAATAGTCTTTTTAGCATTGGCGCTTCTAACATCTCGACAGTGTTGCACACCCCTGCGGGTCTCGGTGTTGGAGGCTGATGTACAGTGACTGTAGGATCAGGGCTTCATGGGACCCCCACACCCCTCTCTTCTCTCACCCCCCCTCCCCACCCACACGAACCCCTACCATACCCCCAGCATTCCCACGGCATAATGATAGAGGAGGGGAAGGGAGACGAGGACACGGAGGGGAAGTGAGGGGGGCGGGGGAGACCATGGAGGGGATGAGGACGGGAGGGGAAGTGGGGGGGGGGGGGTGGTACCCTTGCTACTGGATTCCATCACGTGATGAACCTGAGAGGTCGAGGTGGGATCACTTGCGTGTGGGGGCAGCAGGAAGGGTCCCCCCAAGTCATTACAAACGTCACCTCTTCTTGGCGCTCCTGCCTGGCACTTTGTGGCACCGAGCTGGCTATGGCACCAGCCCGATCCCTCACACACACGCACGTAACGTATATGTAATTGGGGTAATTAAAATGAGACTTGACTTAGGGATGAATGACCCAACTCTCGGTCTTTTACTCGCCTGTGCGTTCATTCACTCATCTGAGCGTTCCTTCACGCACCTGAGCGTTCCTTCACTCATCTGAGCGTTCCTTCACGCACCTGAGCGTTCCTTCACTCATCTGAGCGTTCCTTCACTCATCTGAGTGTTCCTTCACTCATCTGACTGTTCCTTCACTCATCTGAGCGTTCTTTTACTCTCCGCACCTCGTAGATAGTAACATCCTGAAGCATAGCCTCACACACACAGGAAAGGCAAAGGGAGCTGAACCTTACATCCCTGAAAAACAGAAGAGTAAGGGGAGACATGATAACCACTTACAAAATTCTCAGGGGAATTGACAGGGTGGACAAAGACAAACTCTTTAGCACTGGTGGAACACGAACAAAGGGACACAGGTGGAAACTGAATACCCACATGAGCCACAGGGACGTTAGAAGGAACTTTTTCAGTGTCACAGTAGTTAACGGATGGAATGCATTAGGCAGTGATGTGGTGGAGGCTGACTCCATACACAGTTTTAAATGTAGGTATGATAGAGCCCAGTAGGCTCAGGAACCTGTACACCAGTTGATTGACAATTGAGAGGCGGGACCAAAGAGCCAGGACTCAACCCCCGCAAGCACAACTAGGTGAGTACACACACACACACACAACATTGTCACTAATTTGAAAAAGGACGAGGAAAAACTAAAAAATATCCAAAGATATGTGATGGGACTAGATGCAAAATTCGTTGAAGCTAACTTGATTCCAAATTGTAAATGTAAATACTATAAAAGCGTGAGAAATGAGTCTTTGCATTAATCTAAGAACGTTCGGAAGGCGGGGCTAAGAACCTAGCTCGACCCTGCAAGCACACCTAGGTGAGTACACATACACAGACAGCAAAAACAACAACAACAACAGCGAGGGGAGGATAGCAAGAGCTGAGGAAGTACAACAACAGCAAGATTGTAGAACAATAGCGAGGGAGGACAACAGTAGCGAGGGAGGACAACAGTAGCGAGGGAGGACAAGAGTAGCGAGGGAGGACAACAGTAGTTTTAGTGTAGATAAGCAG